CGTTCACTTCGTCTTGGAGCTATGATATCGTGCCAGGTTCCGGGGTGTGTGCTATCTTGTGTAGATAAAAATGCGGCGCGATTTTCCTTCCCGAGGTGATGGTTTCACCTCTGCTGTTTTGTATCAACGCGAATATTTTCATTCCAGTATTTTCCACGTGTGACGAACTTGCACCTGCTGTAGGTGGTACCCGGCTTTCAGATGATGGCCAAATGTGGAAACGCACGTCGGTGATGGCGGGTGTATTTTTTGTGCTAGGGTTGGCCCTCACCATTGCGCGTGCTGCTTTGGTGGCCGACGCGGTGTCGCCTTCTTCACGGCTGGCTCGAGCTGCCCAGGCGATCACAGGAGGAGCACAGTCGCCATCGCAGGCCTTGTCAGTAACCTCACCACGACAGCAACAAGCACCCGCTGGCGTGGGCGGTTCGAGAGTAAGGTTGGTGCCTCATGACCTGCGAGCAGGAGTTGGGTGGTAGACTTGAGAGTGCAATTTGTAGCAACAATAGCATGCCCTCTTCACGGACGGAAAGAATCCGACCAGCAGCAGCCTCGGCTATACAATGCATCATCACATCACAGCTGCATCTATGTTGCACAAGCTCCTACGCGCACCGATCTTCACAGCTGGATTCCTTCACCACGGCGAGGATGCCAAAGAAAATTGATGTGTCTTCACAAATCCACCGACGAGAAGGTAAACGCCACCATTTCGGGTACCTTGGTTCGTGTGGCAGAGGTGGCAGAGCGTGGGGCAGAGTAGCGGGCTATGGAGAATCGGGTATGTATGGTAGATATGTAGTCTAGTCTAGCTATCAAAAGTAACATATCTTGTGTGTGTGTGTTTTTATGTGTGTGCTAACCGGCTGACCAATGAAAAGACGTCAGTCTTAGTGCGGTTGAAAACACAAAACACGTCTATCTACCGTGAACTGGGACCCCGTGAGGGGGCAGCACGGGGGAGGCTAAACTATCCTTCGGATCAAAGAAAGACAGAAACAACAGCAGCAACAGAAGAAAACTGCACCCGTCTACCAAGCAAGGCTATTACCTAGTACTCGAGTTCGTTTAGGAATACTTTCACCAGTATCCTCCTTGTTTTCGCTACCATCATTCTGATCCTCATTTCGACAAGAAGAATCTCTGGGCAGTTCTTCCCTAGCCCTACGTTTCTTGTTGTGGGGAAGGTCATCTGGCTCAAACCCTTTGCTCTCTTCCACTCCTCCATGTTTTCCTGCTCCATCGTCGTCTTCGTCCTCCTTTCTTCCCTTTCCCTTTCCTTCGTCTTCGTCACTCCCAAAAGAATTACCCTCACTACTATCGTTGTCGCAGAGATCCCAACCGATTGGCCCTGGTGGAAGTTGGTCGATCAGTAGCCCATGACGTTTGAACACATCGGGAGTTCGCGTCGACAGAAAACGAGCTAGCTCGAAGGTAAACCGTCTCCGAAACCTGTTAGTATGAAACGCTTTCAGGCGAACTAAGGCTCTTTCGTCTTCAAAATTCCCCCGGCAAAAAGCTTCGTGCGCCAAGTGGTTGGCGATAGCAACGATGAGTCGATTGGTGCCTTTGTCAAGACCACCATTCGTTGAAAAGCAGCAGTAAGGAGGGTAGATCTAGACGGACGGGTTGAAAGTTCCCGCATAGTGATTTGCCTCACTTGCAGCTCGATCTTCGAGGGCGGATCCTGGCTTAAGGATCGACTTGTCGATGCTTCGACCCGCGGATGGGTTGACGATTGTTACGTCTATGAGAATGGACTTGGCGCAGAGTTCCTCTTCTAAGACTGACGCCTTTTTCATTTCTATGTGTGCGTTGTCCTATCAATTATGGCGACAGTCCCCCCATTTTTCGTGGTGAGACGTGTACTACACTTTTCAGCGTATATATGTAGAGTACTACACTTTTCAGTGCATTTTTTCGTACAACTACAACCATCCAGGGTCACACAGGAGGGGGGAAACACCAGGGCTTTTTTGTTCTTGCTATTTCTTTTCATGCCCCACCTTCCTCCTGCGGTGCGTGCTGAATTTTTTTTGTTATCGCGAGAAGGGTCCAGCCGTCCCTTTCCCTCGTCAACGGTGCGAACGTCGAAGTTTGGTACTCACGAGAGCTTTTTAGCCAGTTTTCGCTTTCACCCGCAAATTTTGTAAATTTTTCACCCCATGGGGCCCATGGGGGTTCGAATTCCCGACCTCTGCGACTAGCGGATTACCAGGATACCACTAGACCACCGGGGCGACCGGTATCTACAGGTTCAGCGAACGACTTTCTTGCATAATACTGCAGCCTACATGTATGTACAATGCTGTTGACCCCTCCTTCGTACCGCAGCACTACAAATGTAAGAAAGCACTCAAGATAACATTGACTGTATGTAGACTAGACTACTGTACCTGAACTCTCGGATAACAAACCAATGATTTACATGATTTGACATTACTATGGACGTGTCAATGGACACCGGAAGACGCCCGCGGAAATTGTCCGTGGACGCCCGTGACACGTCCAGTGAACGTCCACAGACATGTATGTCCGTGGACAGGTCCATGGACGTCCACGGACAACGGTCCATGGACGGTGGTCCACGGAGGCGTCCACCCACATCTGTGGACGGTCCACGGAACGTCCATGTACGTCCACGGACGTCCACGGACGACATGCTTTACAGCAATATTGCTGCAACAACTCCGACAATCCAACTGGATGTCGGTAGGAATAGTTTTCTGTGCACACCGTTGGTGACAGAAGACGTCACACCCCCGGGCCCAATCTCCACCGCAAAAGGGCAACGGTGCCAACATGGTGGTCAGTGTCGTATTTGACACAAGATATCATCCCCCNCATCCCCCCCCCCCCGACCCATCTAACAACGATCGATGACGACGTAGTCCACAGCAGAGTGGAGGTGTCGGAATGGTGTCGTGAGGCTTTCCCAAAAGCTGTCACTTTGATCTAAATAGATAATTTATCCTCTTCCGTCGCGAACTGACAAACAACTTTCTGGGAATGCTCACGATCGAGGCGTATAAAATCTTGGTCACCTCTGTTTGTCTAGTGGGCACAGCAATCTGTTGTCTATTATACTCCGAGTACAACAGAAGCGACCCAACTTTTTGTAGTCCACCTTTTTTTTGCGTGTTTACACACAACCCTCATCATGAATGATGAATCGACGAATAGACCTACGCTGCTAGTCCAACGTCAGACACTCGGGATGTCGGAAACTCGGTGGCTTATTGGAAAAGATGCTGTATTGTTCAGAACTTGGCTCGAGAGAAAGGGTAGCGACTGGAGTGGGCGTACACCGGTGGCCAGAGGCAGGTTGTGAGTACGTTGGGGCACCGATCATAACCTGGGGGGGCAGGTTGTAGGGAGGTTGCAGCCCACAGTGTGCAAGCTTTCCCGCATCTCGGAGAGTGGCGTTATTCCACCCAACACAGCGGGAAGCAAGTCGAAAGAAAACATGGGTTCAATGATGAACTCGGCCTCCCAACCTCCCCCCCCCAGGTTGTAGCCTAGTTGGTGCCCAACCTGCCTCTCTGGCCACCAGTGTAGGTGGCGAGCACCGCAGCACCAGCCACGTCGCTCTACCAACGCACAAATTAAAAGCACAACACAATACCGGAACGCAATGATATCGCAACACAAAGAATCAACAGGGGCTAACGTACTTCACAACGTACCATGAATCCTCTGGCTGATGCACTATCCATGAAGCACACACTCGGGGTAATGCACCATCCACCACGAACATTCCTACAGAACATTCCTCGCCGTGCTTGTAGTATGTGGCTACTCAGCGATCTGCAGAAGAACCGACAGTCCCGCAATTCGAACTGTCCAATCAGTGTTCTACGTTGCTCTGTCGACACACAGCAGCAATTATCACAAACACATGAGACGCTATATGTACTCCACAGCAGCTCAGTAGAGATTTGACGCTCTCTATCATGGGGTACTGTATGTTTGGAGGCGGGCAGCTTTTTGTCAGAAGCGCAGAGAAGAAAGGTTGACTCAAGACCTTATTAACGAGTGCGCCGGGCATGCTAGCCCACGCGCAGCAGAAGGGGGACCGCCCCTCTACCAACACATTCCGCCAATGATACACGAAACCCCCTAAATCCCCGTAGATCAGTATCGAGTGCTGACTACCCCCAAACAGCCCCCCTGCTCGGTACTCGATATGATCTAACAAACTCTTCAATCATCACCAGGGTAAAACGGTGATGATGTCAATACCAAACACACAACAAGCAGTCGTTTACCATACCATACCATCCACTCAAGCCTCACGATGTCCAACTCATTTTCCTTCGGCATACAGTCTCCTCAAGAATGTTCATCACGGATGAATCAAATCTTTAATCCAAACACAAAAATAAATGCAGTACAGTCAAGATGAAGTCAAACTCCAATGTGTACGGAAACATCAAGGGAAACCTACGACTTACCCCGGATACCTAAACATGAACCGATATTCAACAGCCCCCCTGCCGGGACATCATTCCTCCAACATGAAAGATCCAATCAAAACCTCCAAGGCAATATACTTGTGGTACAAGAAGAAGCCAAGATCCAAACATCAAACATCAACCCATTCAACGCCAAATACTGCTTGTTGTACTGCAGCGGGGATCATAGCAAGACATTCCCCCCTCATGATTGTCAATGGCAGTGCAACCAGCAGTAATTCTGCAAAACGTCTACGAATTCTGCATACCTAGTACTTCCAGCCCACAGATCCACAGGTGCATAGCTAAAAGCAAAAAAAAAACAAAATGACAGAAACAGGCCGCCAGAAAACAGCAGAAAGAGTATCAAAACACACCAACACAGACGCAACGCCGTCCGAGCGACACTATCAGCAATAGATATTTCCTGGGAACGCCCCCGCCGGTCAAAACACAATGCACGAAAAAGAAACAAACAAAGAGAAGTGATAGCCAGCCGCCCTGCAGCTACATAGAAATGGGAGCAGACAACGTCAACGCAAAACCAAATCAGCGCAGATTCATCACGAAATCGCGGTGGGCGCAAAAAGCTTCTTTGGACAGCGCTTTGGTCAGAAAATCCGCTCGTTGAAGGTCTGATCGCACATGCACTATACGAAACTCCCCCCGCGCTACACGCTCTCGGATACATTGGTGTCGAATGTCGATGTGCTTCGAGTTCGGGGTAGTAGCCGGGTTACTCGCCAAGTGGATAGCCCCAACATTATCCTCGTGAACCAAAGTACACCCCACGTCCCGGTTTGAAAAAATGAAACTCCACAAGTACCGCAAAAAAATAGTCTCCTTCATCCCATCCGACAGAGACACGTACTCGGCCTCCGTCGAGGACAGGGTAACGCTCCTTTGCGCCCTAGAAAAATACATCACACATGCCCCCGCAAACATCACCAATGCACCAGAAATGACCGCTGGTCGGTGGCCTTGCTGGCAAAATCCGAATTGACAAAAAGCTCCATGCTGTCACCCCCATCCACACCCCGCTTGAAAGTAATACCAAGTCCACTCGTGTATCCAACGTACATCAAAATATGCAGTCTCCTTGTTCTTTGTAACGCCAAGCTTGGAAACAATCTTCTCTGTTACAGCCTGCTGTGAAATGGTCACCGTGCCCAACACCACGTCACGAAAAAAACGGCAACCCGCGTACCAACGCAGTTAACCGAGGTTTGAGATGGGAACATACAGGTTGAGGTCTACGCCAAACTGGTCACACCGGCTCTTACGCCCGATGGAAAATATGTCATCTACGTGTATTACAGCCACCATAGTCACCACACCATCCTCAATCAGACGCATCACATACGCATCAGCAGCACATGACTCACACCCAAGACGCTGCATTCCGCGCATCAAGTGTTTGTGCCACGTGCGCGAAGCCTGACGCAACCCGTACAGACTTCGCCCCAGCTTCACCACCTTGCCAGAAAGTGCACCACAACCCTGGGGGAGACGAACGAACACATCCTCATCCAACTTCGACTGAACGAACGCCTGCTCAGCATCAAAATGACACAAGTCCCATCCCAACTCGCACGCAACTGCAGCCAACATCCGAATGCTAGTGATCGACAGACACGGGGAAAAAGTCTCGAAGAAGTCAGAACCACCACGCTGCCCACACCCCCGAGCAACTAATCTAGCCTTAGTACGCACAGCACGACCAAATTCATTAGCCTTCCACGAATACACCCACTTGGCCGAAATTACGTTGGTTGCTCGCTGCTAGACCCCCCCGTGCTCCACGAAAGTTCCCACAGACCGCAGCCCAGCAAACTCCTTGCGCTCCGCCTCCGCCCAGATGTGGTTGTGCGAGCCCGCTCGCGCCTGCGCGTACGTCTCCGGTGTCTCCAGATCGCAAGCCGGCCCCGATGGTGTCGCAGGCGGGGCATATCCGGTCCAACCGCCGTGTCGAGAGACCGCATGATGTCATCCTGAGAAGCGAGAAGCGCAAAGCTCCCCGGTGCCATTCCGCTCCGCTTCGCCTGAGCCCGCGTCACCGCCGGTGTGACCACATGTTCCCGACGTCCCCATTCCGGCACACTAGACCCTCCCGCATGGGCCATATCCCCCCAGTCCTCGACCACAGGGGGCGGCGATGTCGAGCCTACCGCGGACGCACCCCCAGCTACCTGTGGAACCCCCGCCGGTACCGGCCTACGCTCCGCCCCGCTCTTCGGCGCACGCTGCACCACACGCCCTCCAACAGCTGCTCCACCGACAAACGGGCCACCATCCAAGGCCCCGGGGGGTAGACCCCCCCCAGAGGAAGAAGACGCCGTAGTAGCCGCCGATGCCCCGGGGGGAAGAGTCCCCCCAGAGGAAGAAGACGCCGCAGCCGCCGGTGCCTCGGGGGGAAGACCCCCCCCAGGGGAAGAAGACGCCGCAGCCGCCGAGGCCCCGGGGGGAAGACCCCCCCCAGGGGAATAAGACGCCGCAGCCGCCGGTGCCACGTGCTCATCCGACAGCGGCGCAAACGCCCACGGCCGCGTGGATGCCACGGCTCCAGCCCCCCAAGTGGGTACCTCTCCCCCGAATGCCTGGCGCCGGTAGCCGAAAGTGACTTGCGCCGAGTACGTGGCGACACCCGACGGCAGGATAATGTTGACGGTGTTGGACGAGTTGTCGCTCCCGGAATCGAGATAGAAACAGCGTTCCCTTTTCTGTCCACCTTGGTTGGGCGAGTCCGGTGGCGATATCCTGGCATCATGAACAGCAGCGCCATCCTAAGACACCGCTTCCCGAATAGCTTCACCTCCGGGCACCGCGTGTCGGCCTTGCTGCACTCCGCCGTCATGTTGAAGCAGTCGTTTATCCACGCACACGCCTCGGGCCAGATGGCTGCGGAGACCGCCGCACGCGCAGGAAACACGGTCAGGGAAGTGCTTGCGGTACTCGTGCCACCCCGTTTTAGCCCCATCCATCACCAACGCGATCCTCCTCTCCACACGCTCGTTGCTCTTGGGGCCGTCGACCGCCGTGAGCTCCCGCGCGATGTTCAAACCGGCCAGCATCCCACGGAAATCGTCGTTTGTCCACCCGGTTCCGTTGTCCGTGAAAACGCAACCCAGTTCGCCGTTCGCAGCCAACTGCGGCTTGACCGAAGCATACCACGTCTGGAACGCGCGAACCACCGTAGGACCACTCTTGCGCAAGAACACCGACCAACCGAAGTTGCTGTGATCGTCCAAGATCTCCGTGAGGTACCTGGTTCCACCCGTAGACGCCGTGTACGGCCCCGCCAGATGCATGAAAACACGCTCCATGGGCCGTGATGACTTCCGCGAACGGTGGGCGACCTTGGGGACAGCGCGCTTTATCTTTATCGCCTTCGCAGTACTCCTGAACGCCAGTCAGCTTGACGCCCAGCTGCTCCGCAGTTTCGACCAGGTTCTTGTAGCTGGCATGGCCGAGGGAGTAGCGAAAGTCGTTGATGTTCATGCTGCGCGGCGGGCCCGGCCGCATCGCGGCCGCCGCTAGCACGGGGAGGGGTCGGGAGTCACGCCGAGGACCATGCGCAACGCGGGTAGCCTGCACGAAGTTGCCGTCATCATACTTCGTAAACTTCACTTTCCCCTCCATAGACGAAGCCCCTGCGTGGTCAAGGACAATCCTGTGGCGCTCCTGCACGCGGTTCAGCGAGATCAGGTTCAACACTAGACCATGCGCGACAGCAACGTTCTTCAGCGTCACAAGCACGTCCTCATCGCAGTGCAAAAGCAAATCCAGATCGCCGAAAAAGGACACCGGCATACACGCGCCATCACCAACCATCAGACGGCGCTCGTCCGGACCCGGTTCCCCCCGGTTGTAGACCTTCTCGCCTGAGGATACGGCGTGGATCACAGCGCCCGAGTCCCCCATGAAGACAGTAGCGCCAGGTCGTGGATTGGGGAAATCAGCGGTGACGACGTGGGCGGGGGGAAGTGCGGAACAGACAAACCTCAACGCGAAACATCCCCCAAAAGCGACCCCGTCACCACCGCTCTCCCTCCTTCCGAAAGGTGCCGATAGGCCCACCACCGCCTCCCCCCTCATTGCCTGAAACACCGTCCGGGCCGTCGCCTGCGTGCACCACGCCGTCGCTCGGCCCAAGCTCGCTCCCGAGCCGCGGGTTCGCCAAACAGCTGTTCCAGCCATCATCACCACCACCAGCTTCTTCGACTTCGGGAGCTAATTCAACACAAGCCAGATGCCCCCCCTGCGCTGGCTGCATCTGCTCGTCACCGCTGCCCATGTCCCCAGATTGCCAGCCAACCTCACATCCGTCAGCACCCACATACATCGGCTCCGCAGACTGCGGCTCACCAGAATCCCCGTTCAACGGCTCAGCATACGCCTGCCCACCAGAATCCTCCACGCCGGTAGCATCGCCAAAAGCATTGCCGCTCGCACCTGGGTTCGTAACGACGTTGACATGCGGGTGTGCCACTCCAGAGCTCAAAGCGAAAATACGAGAGATGTGGCCACCGCACGTGGCGCAGTTGCACGCAAACCGCCGCGGCGCTGTACAATGCGGAGCCTTGTGTCCATGCTTTCCACACCGCCCACAGACATACATTAAACCCATCGGCGCATTCGGTGGAGGTGGCGAGTCTGGCTGATGATACCTCGCGTTTTTCCCGCAGTCGTAACTCCCCCCAATCCCAAACTGTGGCTTACCGGAAACGGGTTGCCGTGAGGCAGGACGATACGGCAGCCGCTGCGGAGCACCACCCCCACGAGACCACTGCTGTTGCTGCTGCGGGCGTGGCTGGCGAGGACCGCCACCCCACTGCTGCTGCTGGCGAAGAACATCCCACGGCTGCTGCTGGCGACGACCACTCCACTGCCGCTGCTGCTGTTGGTGGTACTGCTGGCGAGGAGGACCACCCTACTGCTGCTGCTGCTGCCGAGGACCACCCCCTCCCTGTTGACGCCCAGCGCCACCCCCTACGCCACTAACTACCAGTGCGTGAGAATTTGACGCCGGTGCCGGTGCAGAAGACGCCGATGCCGCGTAGTTTGACCGAATGACGTCCTCCACCCTAGCAAGCGTCAACCCAGGCTCGGAAAGGGTGGAAAACTTCACGTTGTCGTAGAGGTGGCGACGTTGGCGGACGATAATCTGAATAATCTCAGCCCCGGTCTTGTGGACACCAGCCGCAGCCAACGTCGACACATGCTGATCAACCCTCGCCAGGAAAAACTTCGGGTCTTCATCTCCCTTCATTTCGATGTGTGTCAGCTGCTGGCTAAGCAAATGACATTCGTCGGGCTGGAGGGCAGAACCCGTCGCTAATCAGTTTCCAGACGTCGCGCGCCGAAGCACAGCTACGCAGTCGTGGCACGAAGGGGGCATTCGTGACGGCTTCCAGGAGCATACCAAACGCTCGGACGTGTTCGCCAACCGGTCCATCCCCATATTTCCGAGCAAGGACGGCACGGTCGTCGCAGACATCGACCGGAATCTCCTGGGCATCAGCACTAAAGACGTAGCCAAGGTTCTCGTTGTCCATGCGGATCATCACCCTCTGCTGGCAAGCGATGACTTGCTCTAGAGCCGTTCAGCGGAAATTTCGGGGGTGGGGAGTTGTTCATGCGACCCAGCGAAAGAAGAAAATTGTCACGACCACCAGCAGCACCAAAACTCACCCCACGCTGTTGTTGCTGTGACCACGTCCTTGGACCAAACTCGCCACCACCCTCAACGGCCTCGGCGGGGGATGCAGATTCGTCGCGACCAGCACCAACACCAAAGCTCACCCCACGCTGTTGCTGCTGTGACCACGTTCTTCGGTCAGGGTCTCCCCCACCTCCGACAGCCCCGGCGGAGGATGTAGATCCCTCCTCTGACCCCACCTCTCGGACCCGTAGTATGTCTTCCTTCGCCTTTCTCCGGTCCTCTTCCGCTCTTTGCTGCTTCTCTTCCTCATACTGTTGCAGTAAAGCTTTCATCTCTTCATGTTCCTTCTGCCACTGCTGTTGCCGTTCCTCCGAATCACCCATGCTTCACAGCCCAGCATTCCTGCCACACCAGCTCCAGAAGAAGTTGCTGATCAGCACACACAAGACACATACAACACCACCACCCACGCTGCCGTTCCGAAAGTGACAGGGCTTCCCACACACCAGCTGTAGCACGTCTCGAGGGTAGCACGTCTCGCAGCACTATTCATGAGCTAATACCGGCTGCCTTCACCAGCCCCGATCGATCGTGCTTGGAGGCGGGCAGCTTGTTGTCAGAAGCGCAGAGAAGAAAGGTTGACTCAAGACCTTGGTATATTAGCGAGTGCGCCGGGCAAGCTAGCCCATGCACAGCAGAAGGGGGACCGCCCCTCTACCAACACATACCGCCAATGATACACGAAACCCCCTAGATCTCCGTAGATCAGTATCGAGTGCTGAGTACCCCCAAACACTGTACCATGACGCACCATGAGAATACTCTTATGGTGCCCCAGACTCAATGAGGTACCATGAGGAATGTCATGACGTGACCCAAGGTGCGACCAAAAACCAAATGCCGGCGCCTAACCCCAAAACTATATTTTGGACCTCTCCGGGGAGGAGGGGAAGCCCCTGGTGTTGCTTGTGCCGAGCGAGAGGAACACAAAATAACGAAACAAGCCAAATACGAGGAGGAATAGGGTTCAAGAAGGACCTGAATGACAATGGATGCCGGGACAGGGCTTAAGGTCAAATTCAAACCGGGGACACTGGCCTTCGAGAACGTAGACGAAGTTTCAGGAAGGCGAAGGTGACGACGAAAAGGTCAAATGTGATTGCGGCTCCGAGTGCGAAGACCTTGTTCATGTACCTGCGGAATGCTCGTTGAACAAGACGTAGAGGAAAGTGCATATGACTGTGCTGCGAAAAGTAAAGGAGAGGTACAGGAAGATGATTGGGGCGTGGAAAAAGCCAGGAGAAGATTTAAGTTGCACTGAGGCATAGGAGGTGGGCTGAAAAGGCTGGAAGTGATATCGATAGGATAGATGGATTAGGGAAGACATTTGTGAGCCACTTGGAAATGTAGGAAGAAGCGATTGCCGTCGGTGATCGGTCCTGTGGGAACGCAGTGCTCTGTCCTCTCGAGGACGCGTGGTCAATGGTCTAACCGCTAAGGCATGCAAAACACAAGGATACGCCCCCCCAACGCCACACAAATTCCTCTATATATCAAGTCCATACAAAAGAATCCTAGACTATTTCAAGGAGCACAAATCATGCACGAGGGTAGTGCAATCCATGTAGCCCTTGGGCGAGCTTGCCTGTACTGCAGCCAACGGAACCGTAGCAGAGGTTGAAGGAGGGGCACGGTTAGGGCTGGGGTTAGGGTTGAGGAGGAGGAGGGAGGATGAAGTCGCTCGAGGCGAAAGCGCTTGAAGAAGCCGCTGTTTAGTCTTGTTCAGGGGGGGGGCTTCGGGCACCGTAAGTACCAAGCACGGCCAATTGCAATTGTGACGGGTGTTGCACGTGGCGAAGGTGAAGCCACCACCGTAGGCTCATCGGCATGCCCTCTCCGGTATTTTCCCAGCTCGAGTAAGCTTGGATTGATGATGCTTGTTTGGGGTGTCGGTGCATGTACTATGTTATCACGCTCGCGGGCTCTTGTCGAGAGCGTGTTGCACAAAGGAGTGACGCAAGTTCCTTGATTATTAGAGAGTGACAGACGTGAGCAAGAAGAAGAGGCAAAGCCTGCTGCACCAAGTCTGTCATTCATAACCATATCATACTCAGCTGCGTACCCCCCTCGGAGATATCGGAAACTTGTATCCTGTCGAGTACACACAGAAACAGCCCCCCATCCTCGGTACGAGATACGATCTACGAGAACCTCCGTACATATCGCCACGTAAAACGGCAACAAATATAAAAACCGTTCATACTTCGGATCCACAAAATCACTTCAACTCCAAGATCTATCAAATATTCAAATTTCAAGTTTCCACTCCTCCTTATGACTATGGAACTTCACTAAGAGTCTTAACAATCACCCCTCCGAGAAAATGTCGTCACCATATTCTCAAGCAGTACAAACAAAAATTGTACTTGGGAAAATAGTCAGCGAAGATCAACATTCCATCGGAGCCACGTCATGAAGACCCTGGACGGTCAACTCTGGCAACGCGTTAACAAACAAAATCCTAGCAAAAAACTGTGTTTCAATTCATTGACCAATTTCAAATAAGCTTCGGAAGCACACAGGCCTCAACCATGTCTTACCAAAAAACGCCAAATTCTTCCTCCAATGCCAGATTCAGAACAACCATCGATACCAAATACGGCAAAAAAAGCCAGGAAAAAAAAAACGGAGATAACGCAGATGCCAGAGGAAACTTTCACCAGTTTAATGCCGTTTCTCAAACATCATCGATACGTGGATTAATCAACAGCCCCCCTGCTGTAGTATCTCCCAAAACATCAGAAAGCTTAACAGCCCCCCTGCTGCGACATCTCCAAAAAATAAACGCTTAACAGCCCCTCTTCAACATATCTCCGGCCATGGAACTCAATCCGTCCTACAGCAGACAATACAAGAACAACTCTCGAATCCTAACAACGACAAATTAAACAACCATTATGAGGCCACCTCCGTACTCCGCAGGTAAAACGCGGCGTCGCGAACAAACACGAAAGAAAGGTGGATTCTCCTCATTGCCGAAGATAAACGAGGAAAACGTAAACAAAATGAACCACCAAGCCCGAACGTCCGTAGAACTCGGCTGGTACTGCGGCGAAGATCATGGCGTGTCAGCATCACATTTATCCCCCCCCATGATTTTCGACAGCAGTGCTAGCAGTGATCCAACAATACCAACTGCACCGTTCGGCGCGCTGAATTCTTACTATCCAAACTAATTCTTAACGAATGAAAACATAATGTATACCACAGAACATAAACACCTCGTTCGTGCGCATCGCAACACAACAGTAACGCCGACGCAGTCCTCAATCTAACAAACTAACTAAGACCGAATCTAGAACATACGTGGCCAAAAAATAAAAAAAATAATAATAATACTTCTCACAAACGTGCCGGAATCGCGCGTAGACCCATCGTGCAACCACCGGTCATCCCGCTCGGTAGCTCCCGAACGCGTTGCCTCTCAATTCATGCCGCACACTTCCTGCCACGATCAGTTGTCAATCTCCGGCATTAC